AAACTGTTAATGGGTTTACACAAAAAGGAGCTTGAAAGCACTCCAAAACCAGATCTTTCTTCAAGAGATCAAGAATAGATGTTTCTACAAAATCTGAATGATCTAAAGCAGAATGATTTATTATTTTTAAGACAAATTGTTTCAGGAGAACTTTCAATCTCTAATCTATAACTGTATTTTACAACATTCAGAATATAATCAGAAGGTTTTTCAGTACATATTCCCAAAAATATTGCGAGTTTTTTAAGCTATCTTTAACAGAACTTGTGTTCTCAAAATCTGATTTAATATCGAGCAAACAAAATTCAGCACTATACTCAACTTTACTGTGTTCTGTGGAATCTGAGGTTGCTGTGGCCTTGGGAACTCTGATTACCCGTGCTCTTTGTTGTAGGTCTGTGTAGGGACAGAAGTTTGCGAAATGCCCGGGGAGTTGTCAGAACAGGCAATAGACGTTGTTTCCTGGCACTTGGTAATATTGGGTCTGAAGTATGAAGAATTGGCCCTGTTGTTAAACTTTTGGTTGTACACTGTGTACTTCTGAAATCCCGCACTTCTGCGAAAAAGCTTGGTCGTCTGAGACTCTTTGCTGTACGAGAAGTATCTTCTATTCTTTGCGGCTGCTCTAGAAATAAGGGCACAGAGTTCAGATGCATCCTTAGGATAATCAGCCAAATCAGAGTCAGTGTACTCTTTAACGGTATCCCAGCCATGTTTATCGGCTATGCGCAAAATGTTATTCCTGTGTTGTAAAGCTTCTTTTTCTTTGTTAATGATGACAAATATTTCACCAATGTTGTTTATAGACAACTTTTTCTCAATCAAATCCAGAGCTCGGAGCCTTTCTTCATTGAATTTGAATTGTATTCTGTTACCTTCAGATACAATGGCGACTCTTTGTCTTTCTAGTGCAGTTTCAATACGCCGGTTAAAAGTCTAACTGCGTCTGTGGCGTCAAAATCTCTATCGTCAGAATTCCTTGGTTCTATAATAATTGGGTTATTGACATTGTTATGTGATTCATTTTTCTCCGAATCGCACATATTCTTATCCTGTACACTATAATGTATGTCCTTGAGATTTTGTAACGAACTTCTCAATGACCAAAAACACGCCTGGAACACTATTTATAGTAAGCACCAAATCACTCGTGCATGCAAAATTTAATATGAAAAGATTGGACATTTCCGTAATACGAAACTCAAAAACGAAAAGAAATTCATATATTGAATACTATCTTATGATATTTTGCGCAACTGCCTGGAAAAATACGTCCTTTTTAGGAAATTGGTTACATGAGCAATGCTTAAATGAAAAAAAAATATTGTTAGAACGGTCGTCTGACCCTAAGGAAAATAAATCGATATTGCTGTAAAACATTTCTCCTTGGACCTACATTCTGCTGCTCTTTCTCAAACTATTCCAACACCATTACTACACATTACATACAAATATCCTACCTATCCATTACATATCTCACTGAACATTACAAATCATACATCTGTAGCTATCTAATTTAAATGCTTTAACTCATATATCATCATTAAGGATATAATAATGTTTAACACAGACCTGTGTATGTAGCAGTCCTGGGGGTCATATATGGTTCCTTAGCCGGATTGGCCTCGTTGGTTGGACTGACCGTCTGTCTGTGTATGAAATGTAGAAAAACAACATCCAGTCAGGGTGCAGTTCTCTATGAAACCATCGCAAATGTTGAAACAGGTGTCCAGATATGTGAGTGCAATTTATAGTTTAAAAAGATAATCATTGTTCCAATTATTTACCCACTAGACAATTCCACGTATTCCGCACCAAAAACACGTTCTTTATTAATGTATTTTTTATGATTATCAAAATTTTGAATTTCAGTTGTCGAAATACAATACAGATTTATCGCTCCAAACCTTTGTTATGTAAATAAGGCCCTTGCCATGTTTTTGTTTACATAAATTGAATATATTAATACATTTTCATTTAAAACGATTTCTTCAATGAAGACGTTAATTTTAAGTACGATTAAAAATTTTCTATGGGTTTGCTGACTCTCGTTTTGTCATAGATATGTAATTTTCTATATGTAAACAAACACAAGGCTCGTGCCTTGTTCATATTATGAAGAATTTTCAGCCCTGTATCTCCTTTGTAAATCAACAATTCATGTTCAAATTTTCGCTGATCCTTAAAATTGCCTTAGTTAAGATTTGTAAAAATTAAAATTGGTTTTAGAAATCTGTTGAAACTGTACCCATGTCCCTTTAAAGGAAATTAATGAAGGAACTGCAACAAATCCTTTCTGAATTATTCAAATAAGCTTTAAAAAGTCTGGTTTGAACAAGTAAATGAAATGGTAGATGAGTCATTTATAGCTAGCATTTTTAAAAAAAAAAACCTTTACAGCAGTGCGACCTTACAATCAGGAAGGAGTGTACACACCTTATCGTGTTCAGCAGCAGACGACCAATGAAGTCGAAATGATTGCGCCACCTACCGAAAATCAAGATCTGCCATCGAACTAGCAATTTCCTGAAATCGCCATCAACTGAAACAGCCACCACTCATTTTTATACCCCTTTAAGGAGGCTGGGGGTCAACAAATAAACCAAAAATTAACCACCAGATTTAACTTATTTTTTTTTGGATACGGCATCTTAAGCTGTCAACCTTCATTTGGCAAAGAAAAAAGTCATTTTAGTTTTAAAATTTGATCATTTTTGTATATTTTATCAGGAGCTCTTCTTTTAAAGGAGATCGAAATAGTCTGAAAATGGCTTCCACCCCCAGCCTCGTTAATCGAAGATTTTAGGCATATAGTTTTTGTCGTTTTTGTCCGTCTGTCTTTCTGCTTGTCCGCAAAAACTTAAACCTTGCCCATAACTTATGACTGGGAGGAAGTATGACTTTCATATTTCACGTGTATTCCTGGTGGCAAGACCTGCAAGACCTTTATTTACCATTTTAGCACCAAATTTGACCTTTTGACCTTGGAGTTTGACCTACTTATTAAAACCTTTAACCTTGGCCATAATTTTGGAATGACCAAGGCTATGGTTTTAATACTTCACATTTGTAAAACCTTGTGTCATTAGATCTTTCTTAAGAAACAATCAAATTTGACCTTGGAGATTGACCTCCCTTTCAAAAACTTATCCTTGTCCATAACTTTTGAAAGGTGGTGCTAGGCCTTTCATACTTCACAACTATATTTCTTGTGAAAAGATCCTATTTTGGGTAAAAAAATATTTAATTTGCATTTAAGAAAAGTTTAATTTTTGCTATGTTGCCATAAAGGAACACCAGTGTTTCACACACATTTTTTTCCTGATTATCTCTGTTGTTTATTATCTTGTCATTTATCATGTTTATGTTATCAATTTTTCAGTAAATTAAAAATACAATTTTGTTCACATACGTAAACCATTCCTGTACATTTTTTTGTATAATTTGCAATTTACCAGTGCCTTGATTATCTATGTAGTATTAATATTATGTAAATTTTAAATTATTATGTTTTTGTTTTGAATTGCGGTGGAACATTGATCATACATATAAATAAATCTAAATTGAAAAACAAACAAAACAAATATGCAGTTGTTCCTTGACATTGTTTTTTCAAAAAAAATTCTTTTTAGTCATTTCAAAGGTTTTTTTTCTCAGACAGACTGGGACACATGTGAATAATCTACTAAGTACATGTAATAAGTGACACTTTTCATATGTTTTACGGAATGCATTTTTCATCTATACTAATTCTGGGTCAACCGTTAGCTTTCCTTTTGTTGTTGAACCCAGATTCTTCAAAACCTCAAAGTCACCAACACGAGTTACAATTTTGTACTTTTATATAAGGATCAGCAAGGAATATACTTTTACATGAGTTTGTTATGTATCAGCACCGAAGGTCTGACTCCAATTGACTATAATTTTTAACAAGAAATCATACATATTGAACAAAGACAGAGTAAAATAAAAGGATTAACAAATCATATATATAAAGAAATGAAGTATCAAACAATTATTGAGCGAAAGGTTACACGTAAGCAGCATGTATATAAAAGATGAAAGATAAAGCATTAATAATAAACATGATAAATATAAACATAAGTCAGTGAAGAGATTAAGTGTTTATCTTTTACTGTGCCTCGAGTGGGATTAAGGCTGTGCGGAATTCATATAATTTATCACATCTGTCGAAATATTATTAAAAGTTTTTGTAACAATTATCACAAAGTCCAAAAAGTTTATTAATTTTACAAAGTATTTCATAATAAGTCCAAAGATGTCGTATTTTACACCGTAGCATATGCCTAATTACAATTGAAATAGAATTCACACACATCAACTGATAAATACATGTAGCAACAACAAATCCATTATATTTTACCTAGAAGCATGTTAAGATGCGTAGAATTCAAAATGTAACATTCTTCAATTTCAGACAAGATGAATTATTATCAATTTAATGATTAATTTTAGAGTTATTGTACATTTAAAGAATGTGTTTATTTATTTTTCTTTTTATTGCTACGATGTATACAGTGTATGTACATGTAGTAGACCATATGTATATATCTATTTTTTCCCCTGCAATTTTACGAAATGTTATATTAGGAGAGGACTATCTAAGTTACTGAACTTGTGTTCGATCCTTCTGACTTTGTAAATAAAATAAGTTCAATTCAATTCAGTTTTTGTTCACAAAAAATTAACGGACATCCTCAATTAACAAGCAATTGAATTCGGGATTTTGATTAGTTTAAAAATTGTAGTGATACGAGTTCTCTTTTCCCCCACATTCACATATTTTATGAACACCAGGTACATTTTTTATTTATTTAAAAGAGAAAGTTGCGCAAGAGCTTTAAATGTCCTTCCTGTTTACCGAAGGTAAACAATGATACATCCCTCTGTACACCCGAGTTATCTCTGAAATTTAAATTTAAAATCACACCTAAGAACAAGGAAGTGAAAATGTGACAAGGAAATTTAACCAAAACAAAAAACAAAAAACAAATAAAGAACTCGCTATATTCCAACCATGGGCTGGAAACTATTGACTGTTGTCTTTGCTAACATTCTAGGTAAGAATTTCTTTGTAAAAACTAAACTCAGAGGGTCTTCCGAGTTTTCTACACTATCGAAGACCCATTAATTACACTGATACCTGACGAGTGGACTGTGCACTTTTAGTATCCCCCCTTCAATGTCCCTCTTTTAGTTTCTGAGAACTTTTAGACACGAAAATAGAATAAACCCAGTCTATAAAACCTTTTTTCTGATATGCAATTTCGATTTTTAATAACTTATTGGAAAAGATGTAGGGCGGGTTACAAAATCGATTCGTCAGGTACCTGTGTTTCTTAGTGCATATTAGTCATAAGATATTTGTAAACAAAAAAATGTTCTATTGTGCGAGACAGGTAAGCTGTAAACATCAGCGTGTTTCTACAACTTTGCGGAGATGTCATAATCGCTTTATCATGAAAAGGAATTTGCGGGTGGATGATACGGTACATTTATGGGAAGATTCCTATAAAGTCTAAATCAATATCGAATGAATGTTGTAAATATTTTTTAAAGGAATAAAAAATTAAAATAAGAGATTATACCTAACTTTAATTTGTTATTCGTTGTAGTACAATTTGTAGAATAAAACTTGATTGTCCTTCAAATCCCATAATAAAAGTTCGAACATGCTGAGTTTTTGGCCCATATATACCTGTAAATGCAGTTTATCTCTATCATAAATAAAGTACTGTTACATGAAGTCAACACATTATAAAAAGAGAGAGAAATGTTTTTTAAAGAATTAAAAAAAACATACCAGATATAATTAAACATCCATATATTTTAAACTTTAAGATAAAAAAAGACATTAAATATGAAAGCGTTACATGTGGATCGGTTAACAAAATGTCATTCCATTTGTTATACCCCCCGCTTGAAAAGCGGGAGGGTATAAAGTAATAGTTAATTCCGTCCGTCCGTCTGTCCCTCCGTCCGTCTGTTATGCTTTGGGGTACCCATCTCTTATCCGCAACTCCTCTTATACCACTGAATGAAATTAGATGAAACTTTCACAGAATCTTTATTACATATTGCCATTGTGCACCTCCTATTTTACTTTTTGATCCGACACATATTTTGGGTTTCCCATAGCAAAACATGCACACTGCCATTTATACACATATGGAAGGCGGGGGGTATCATTTAGTGAGCCCATTGCTCACATTACCTCAAGTTTTTTTCTCGTCTGTTTTTTATATTTATAACAGCACTGTCTTTTAAAGTACAAAGCAAAGAAACCTATATTTAAATTAATTATTCATGTACCTTTCATTAACTGAATAATTATCAAAGATTGGCTTAATTCCATTATACCCATCTTAAATTCATTTGAAGATAGGTACAAATATCTTAAAGATAGGAATAACTGAGTTCAAAATAGCGCAAATCTATAAATCAATTGTACCTATAGATCTATCTGGCCATGGTACACTAAATGGTACAGCTTCAAATTATTTAGACATATGAACATTGTTACCTTTAACTAGTACAAAACTTCTAAAATTACTCTTTGATAATGTATTTGTCTACGGAATGGTGCATCTACCTCATCTATTAATAGGGTTTATATAAAGGTTATGTTTGGCGAAAAGGGGCGCTTACTCATCCTACGCATCCGACCCCCAATCGGAACTCCTGGGATGTTGAGTTCGCGAAACATCCGAGGAGTTCCGATTGATCTGACCCCAACTCAGGAACTTCCAGTCCTCAGTGTTTTATGCTCTCTTCATTTGTATTGTTAAGAGATTCTTTGAGATCGATCTCTGTTTTCTCCACCTTTTATTTACCAAGGTCTCAGCTGAGGGTACATACATGTAAAGTATGCACATGTAGCCCTGATTTTTGTTACTTAGTTTTGTAATGTTGTTGAAATGTTAAATGATAACCATAGTAATTGTAAAAACTATTCAGAAATTGCTAATTACAAAAATGGTACACTTCAGTTGAAAAAATTGAATAATTATATAATAATATACCTCTTATAGAGATATGTCTATGTTATCTTGTTTGTTAATATACAAATCGTTTGAAGAACAGAAATTTATTGCATTAAAAATGCATGATTTTATTTTTCGTTTAGGTTTGTCCACTGTGTCTTGTTCCTGCTACTATAACTCGTATACTTCCTACTACAACTGTTACGATGACTACAGTAACTACGATTATTACTACAGCTACTATCGTAACTACTCCTATACACTGGGGTAAGAAATAAATCTCGTTTTTTTTTTTTTTTTTTTTAACAGATTTAGCTATATATAGTGGTGAAAATAGTTTTGAAAAATTTCAAGGACACAACTTATTACATGTATATGCTTGCCGTTTGTTTTTACTATTCAATCAGCATTTGTTGGACATAAAAAATATTCAAGTATCCACCAGTTTGATATTTAAATTTGCAACTTTTCTTCGGTTTAAAATTCAAATATCCATCTGTGCATACAACACATGATTTAGGAAGGCATGAATAAAGATGCGGCTTGTTGTTTAGACACACTTGCGCTGTACATGAAAAATAAAGTAGTAAAATTTCGAATCATTCACACTTTCAGAATATTGTTAAAAAGCGTTTGAAAAAAATCTGCTTCGGGCTTGCAATACTATTGAAAGCTTGTAAAAATATCCATTTAAAAATTAATTGCATGCACTCAGGATGTGTAATATAAAAAAATCCAATAATATTTCAACCGAAATGTTTCCTGTTTTGAATTGGAATACAAGTGCATGCTAATTAAGATTTTGAATATCATCCATCCTTTTTTAAAAAAGGGTTTTATTTTTTTCTTTGAAACTTAATCCCCTTCACTTTCCGTTACTCTGGTTTCCATTTCAAAGAAATCAGTTGAGGGTCATCACTTTAACCTTACCTTTTCAACCTTTCACCCAATTGCGAACACCAGTTGAGTGGTTGAGTAAAGTGACTTTTTACTTTTCATCTACATTTTGACTCCGTTTTTATTGTAACTTTAGCCTTGTGATCTCTTTCAAGTTTAATATGTAATGTAATATATTTTCATCAATTTAAACAGTATCAAAAATACATGTATCGTTCGACTGGAATTCCCAAATCATTTCCTTAACAAATTATCAGCTGATATCTGATATTACCAACTTCTTTGTCGAAATTAAAACATTTTTTCCTGCTTTCTGGTCTAGGACAATAACAAAAATGTCGTTATCTTCTCCTAACGTTACTGAGTTACCTATGCTTTCAACAGATTTTTCATGTAATTTCTGGTTTGCCTTATAGTATGGAAAATTTTGTTAGGAAGTAAGCACTAGTTATATCCTCACTATAGTCCTTGAATAAAAGGAGTGCTTGGTTAACTGTTGTATAATTCCACTACTGGATTCATGGTAATCTATTACAGTGTACATATCGTAAGTATATTGCTTTAACATTTTTATATCAATGTTAAACACAGTGTTGGTGCCATCCTTGGTATCATATTTGGCTCCCTCGCTGGATTGGCCACGTTAATTGGACTTGTCGTCTGTTTGTGTGTATGCGTATGCAGAAAAACCACACCAAGTCAAGGCACAGTTCTTTATTACAATCCCAACACAAATGCAGGAGCAAATATGTTGCAAACTTCTCAAACATGTAAGTGTGGTTGAAAAAAAAATCTTTGAAACAGCAATATTTAACGTAAAACCAATTCATATTTTGTTTTTAAAGCATGCAAATAATCATGCTTTCCAAGTTTAAGTTGGATAGAGCAATAACATAATCATGTTGTTATCTTGCTTTTTCCCAACGTTTCAGCGATACCGTCTTACAATCAGCAAGGATTTTACTCATCTTATCCTGTACAGATGCAGCCACCTGGGCAGGCAACTGGGCAAAGTGGAGCATTTTCTGGTGCTTCACCTCCCCAGTACAGTCCACCTCAACAGTCTACTGAAAATGAGAATTTGACACAGAAATACTAGAGATATGTCGCTTAATGGGCTGTTACAGCATCGACATTCTACAATATAATTGAAATCTGGTTAAGACCAGCTTTCACTTATCTTTACTCTGTTCTTTTCTCTGTTTGTTAGTAGATTATTTTTATTAACGTTTTCCACTTATTGTTAAATTATTTGTAAATGCTGTTTTTGAAACACTTCTCAAAGAGGAATACTTTTTTTTAGGTATATGCAATCTATAAAATTAATACTTTGATGACTGACAATATGTTTATCATTAAATTTGTAATTTTGATATTTCTAATAAAAGTATGAATGTTTTTGAAAAGACTGAACGTAAAGAATTTAATTATAATTAAAAAAAAAATCAAGAGATACAGAAGTCATGTTTGAAAATGGCAATCAGTTCTTCATTTACTATTTAAAGGTAACTTGTTTTCCCCAGATACATTGAGTTACGACGAGATGTTCGACAGTAACGTACCCTACGAAATATATATGAGGGTTGTTCGAAAAGTTCGTGTACGATGTCAATCTTCGTTATATTTCCAGCTAAAAATTTTAAATAAGCACATAATGATATTTAAAAAAAATATTTCTTTTGTTGATGTTTGAAGTTTCCTTTAAATTGATTTAACAGAAATCGATTTACTTAATTTTGAAATCAACATGTTTTGTACCCGTGGAGCACATTTAACTACAAGATAACGTCAAGTATTTCTAAAAAGTACTGTCTATACATTTCATACAGTATTATCCAATGCCCACACATTAAATCCTTTTTCTAATACTTACATTCATTCGTTCTCGTTATATAATTTCCTTTGTTAAGATTCTAATTTCTTTGATTACTTAACTCTGCATTCACAGGATAAGCAACTCTGAAGCGTTTTAACTTTTTCAAGTTTTTGTTTAGGTTTTTACAGATAAACCGTTTCTTCACAGAATATCCTCATCCGATACAGAGTCCCTGTCACTCAAATATTGCATGTAATATTTGTACGCACTTGCACAAGTCGCTCTAAATATTTTTTTTTTAACTCCACTAAAATTTTTTTAGAGTTTATTCAGGATTTATCCTGAGTAAAACACAAAAATACATCGTTATCTGCCGCTCTGTGACGTTCTAAAATGTCATCGTTTTTGTCGTTTTCAATGAGGACTACATTGTAACTATCTTCTCATGTTGATTACTTTTCAACAAAGCAAAATATTAAGCCATAATTTGGAATACGAGTTGATGTAACAATTCTTTATTTGAATTTTTAGGATGCTTTCCGTTTTTGCTCCATTTTACAGAGAATATGACTGCAGACATTATTTTAGGGTATTGTTTGTAACTTACTAAATTTTTACCTGCTCCGCGAGCCGATTTTTGCATGTTTAAAATCTGGATAAGTTTCAAACAAATCATGATATCCAAAAAAAAAAATTAATACAAATCATTTGGATTTATTGTTTAAATATTTCTACGAAATTTGGATAACATAAAAGAAATACAAAAAAGATATAACAGAAGTCCACGAATGTTTTCAACAACCCTCGTAATTACATAAAAGGATATCCCTCCCTCTGGTTCAATACAAATTAAATAGAATACTTAGTATATTTTCTTCTCGTGTATTTTTTCTGTTCGATTTATGTCAATGTTGCTAATTTATGAACTTAAAAATATATCATTCGACGGTATATTCAATGGAATTAGGAGTCAGACCTTTGAAAAAGACCTTATTTAAAATTATTTTTTGCTATTATGTCTCTATATGTTTAATTATCATTTAAAGTCGACATAATTAATCTCCATTAATATCCTTCATAATTTCAGTAACTTTTCTGATGTCTTATATATAAACCATATTGTATTTGACAATGAAAGCATAATAATAAAGGGCAATGCTTTCCGTTTTTGCAGCCTTTGCATTGCGAAATATTCATATAAGATGTAGAAAGAAGAAATTACACGTACATTTTTAAACAAGCATTCTGAGAATATTGCATTAGCAATACATGTTCCCCACCGGGATCCCCTATTCTCTTTTGGATGTCATTTCATAATATCCTGCACGAAAAATAGCCCTCAAAATGTAAATATTTCGGTAAAAACTTGTTTTAAGGACTTTGATATTGAATAGTGTTCGTTATCTCCATATCCTTCTTGCATATAAATGAAATATTAGTAAACGTGTTTAAATGCCATTAGACATACATGTATGATTTGAAATTAATCCGTACAGCTCATTTTACATGCATGGTTAAAATAAAACAATCGAACTTGTTTTTTTCCTTCAGGTCGCCGCGTCAAACCTTTGACGTAAACATACGTAGTGACTGTTCCTTCGCCAAACGCTTGGCACTAGAAGTGAAAGTCGCACGTCTTTCAGATATTAACTTGAAAATGTAGGTTCCGTGTCATTGTAGGCGTTGGCACGATAAAAAACACTCACTGCTCAATGGCCCTAAGTGCCGAGTATAGGTCTAAATTCGAAGTCCTTCACCGAAAAACGGTGACATATCCAGATGAGTGAAAAATTCTCGAGTGGGACCTTCAACAACAATCAATCTTTTCCTCGATTCATATTTACAAACTATGTCGTCATTCGGAAGTAGCACTGAGTTAAAAGTTATCCCCCGTTATATTCCTTTCCTACATTGCGTCAATGCAGATACACAGAACGCATTCTATCGTTGAACAGGTCCAAGGCCATAAATCATTTTAACGATAAAACATTCTATCGAGTTTGTAAATATAAAGCTACCCAGAAAGTTTAAAATCAACACTTTTAGCTAGAGACAGTCTCGTTTGGGTCATTAATCTAGCATAAGCACAAAATAAACCCAATCTTAAACCACAAAAAGGAATATTAAAAATGCAATAATTACTGTATAACGTTTTTTTTTACTGCTGTAAAATTTTACGAATTTTAGCTGAAACAAGGTGATTTAAATTTTTAAGTGTTATTTTATTACAAATTGAGCGTGTCCGTAAAAATTAAAATCTCCGGAGGTGAAATTCCAGATCAATGTTTTTTAGCATTTTTTTTAATGCGTTTGCATACGAATGGGAAAACCCGATGTAAAAATCAAAATGAAATTATTCCCTCGATATAGAATGTCGATTCATTAAATTTTGATTTGTTTGTTTATTGAATTACCTTAATGTTTTTTATTGAAACACGATTTGCTAAGTATCATGTAATTGATCAGCTCCACGATGCCATCTGGATTTTACAGGAAATATAAAGAGACTGAGACAACTCAAACCATCATGATTTACTTGACACAATAAGTACAGTGTTAAAAAGACACGTTTTTATTGAATGCAAACAAAACAAGAAAGGGTCAATGACTTTGAAATGTTTGTTCCCGTTTTGCACACATTCTGAATTACAGGTAATTAAAATATGTGTGAAATACGGGAATTTGACCAGGTGAGATAATTACTAAATTGCTATAGTCTTTACCATACTTAATAAGTATGTGAAAATTGAACTTACTGAGAAAAAATTAGAGAAAAAAACAAAGTTAATGTATCTTCTTGGCTTGGGCACTATTTTCAAATTAATCTTTTTTTCTCTATTTTCTTTATTATATGATATATTTTTAATTCATTTAAAATTTTATTTTAGACCAATTACTTTCAGCTGGAATAATCAGAAGATCCAAGTCTCCATGGTCCAGCAATGTTGTGCTATGAAGGAAAAAGAACGGCCAGTTCGCATGTGCATCGACTATCGCCAACTTAATCTCAAGACCAAGAAAGAAAGATTCTTATGCACTGCCAAGAACTGAGGGAATTCTAGCAGGTAACAAGTATTTCACCGTTCAGGTTATGAAAAGCGGATACCACCAGATCGAACTATTTAAACAACATAAAGAAAGGACAGCTTTTACTGTAGGCCCGCTTGAATTTTTCAAATTTAATCGACTCCCTTTTGGACTAGTATATGCACCAGCAACATATCAAAGATTTATGGAAGACTGTTTTGAAGGATAACATCTAGAAATTTGTTACATCTACCTAGACGATTTGATTATCTTTTCCAAAACGTATGAAGAACACATTGAGAGATTTGAAAAAAGTATTCAAAAGACTAAGGGAGGTAAACCTGAAATTAGCTACCAAGAAATGTGAATTTTTCAGAAGGAAAGTGAATTACATAGGAATCATC